TGGCAACAAGGAGTAGGGCCTTTTCAGTGGTGGCCCCCACTTATGGAACAGGCTCCTCACTGAGGCCTGCCTGGTGCCAACTTTAATAGCTCTTTGTTGCCAGGTGAAGACTGTCCTTGTTTCACAGGGTATGTAGTTAGTTTACCATTATACTGGAGGTGATTTTAGCTGCTTGAACCGGTTTCATGATTTAATGTGTATAAGCCCTTGTAGCTTCTTACATTTGTTTTAAATTTGGTTTTTAAATTGTATATGGGACAATGTCTTGTTCTTTGCCTCAGGCAGCAAAATGTCTTGGGCCAGCCCTGCCTCAATCTCTCAAGTGAGGCTGAATTCGGAGAAGTCAGCAGCCATGTCCTCTGCTTTCAATAGGCCTTTCTTTGCCTTCATATCTTCTGTACTTGGAGACGGAAAGAAATCTCTTAGGTCCTTGGCTAGAAAGAAAGTGACAGGCTTTTGTCCATAGGAACCTAAGAAGCTTTCTCATGCAAAGTCAGACTAATATCGCCAACACTAACTGGCAGCAGCTGTCCAGGGCTTCAGGCAGGAGCTTATTTTGAACATCCTTCATGCACTCTACCACTGAACCCAGGCCTCTCTCCATGTGTGCCAATATCCCCTTGTTAACTCTTGATTTCACAGTTTACTAGGTTTTATTAAAGTTTGCCAGTGGGCAACGATTTGCCAACGGGCACCAAAATCCATTTCCTGTTTGCTTTGATTATTCACCATCCTCACTATAACATCGGCCTCATGTCTTGTGTTTAAGCCAGAACAAATAACCCACATCCTAGAGTTTCTTATTTGTGACTTTCTTGTGCACGAAAATTGACAGCTTCCCATGTGTGGCTTCACCCTCAGCAGATACCCCAGCCCTTTGTTACCCAAGGCAGAGAACTAAATTGGAATATTTACAGGAAGCCATTGTTAAATCATGTTCTGCATCTCAGAGATGCGCTACACATCCCACAGGAAACACTGACCTCCTCTCCAAGGTAATAATATGCTAATTTTTATTTATGACACTGATAGGGAATAACGGTCTGATTAAGGCTATAGAAGGACAGGAGGGATGGTATTTTGCCCAGGGTTGCCCTGTAGACACGTATGGTCAGATCCATCGCAACCTTCTGGAATTAACGAGTTTCTGTATGGACTCCCTCGAGGCTCTTGGCTCTATGACTTGTTGCTGACTGGGAGAATAATCTTTCCGGCATAGCTTTGCTGCTCCTGCTATGCATCAGAAATCGCTCTCTGACCTCAGCCAAGAAGCCCCCCTTTCTAAGACAGAAACACAAATTTAAATTTGCTTCTTAGATATTACGCTTATTTGTCCCCAGGGGGATATTTCCTACATGATACCAGCACGATCTGCTGAAGCTGCACACCGCCAGGGAAGGCGCTTGCATGGAAATTGGAATATTTCACAAATGTGTTGCTTTCCCTTCTCTCTGCATCTAGAGAGGTCATTATTTCCCTTTAATGTGGGGGGCATGAGTCTTGTTCCAGTTCCATATTTATGCAGCGTGAAAAAAGTAAAGTCAGCATGGAGGGAGCAAGTAAAGCATCTTTCTCCATGCTGGCAGTCTGCAGATGTGTGGGTCTGCAGTGGCTGGATAGGAGTTGCAGTCCAACACATCTGGAGCACACCTGGCTGGAGAAGGCTAAAGCTGAGGGGAGGCCTGCCTGAGAAGGTACTTGAATCAGAACCAGTAGCTTGATGGCTCAGGACTGACCCCATTGAGATAAAAAGAAATCCATCAGCCAGCAGAGACGTGGGATCCCCCTCCAGCTTCCTGATCCTGACTGGGAGCTCTCCTCCCCACCCTCATTTAAGCAGCCAAAGTAGAGATTGGGCTGCACATTTTTTAAAAGTGACCCTCCAAATGCCTATTTTCTCCCTACGGAATAAAACATGAAAATGCACATTTGCCTCAAACATGCACATTTTTCTAAAGTACATTTGCATTTTGCAAACGACTGCCGTAAGCTTGAGAATATCCGAACTTCGCCCACAAAGTGTGCACACATCAGCAATCAAGGGTGCAAACAGGGTTTGTTCTGATCTGATCTGATAAGGGTGGAATCAGAGTTGGTGTACCTCCCTGGCGAGCATGCAGGGAGCCAAGCTGGGGAGCAGGCAGGCAGCCTAACGGCGAATGGGTCATCAAAGAGCAACCAGTTGAGCTGCTGGGACCAAAACCAGCCCAGTATCCACAGCCTTTGGGCCTCTTGTGTCACCTCCTAAACTGGCAGCTGGAATGCCACCTTCTGGACATGGGTAGAGGCAGAAGCACAACCAGAGAAGGCCAATGCTCATTTCCTCGGGCAAGCCCACAAAACGAGGCGCTTGCATCCCGCAGCCCGAGTCCCAGGTTCAAGAGCTCTGCACCTTACCCTGGGGCCTGCAGACCACCCATGGTACCTGGCACACTTGGAAGGCCACCTCCCACTTAATGCAGAGGCAAAAGTGAGTCAGCCACTCAGCGTGGAGTGACAATCAGTTACCACTTCTGAAAATGCTGCATTCACTCTTGTTATTTTTGCTACATTTTGAGAGGTGCATCCCTCAGATGTTTTAAGAGGATGACTGAATATACATGTTGTAGGAGTACATCTAAAAGATAATGTGCAAAAAGGCCTTCAGTGCACAAAACATACACCCAGGGGAAACCTCCCTCTCTTATTGAAGAGGCTAGCCCCTATTTGGCAAACATTTTAAAAATGGAAATTAATGCAGCAGCTAAACCTCAGCGAACAGAACAATAGGGAACTGAACCAAATAATTTCAGATTTAAGAGCGAAAAAAGCAAAAGGGCCGGAACCTGTGTAGTGAGCAACAAAGAACAGGTATGCCAGAACAGTGGCCTTCAATACACTAAAGTTTAAGAGACACTATAATTTAGCCCTGTGCTGGATGCATTAAATTTCTTATTGCAACGACAAGTCTTTCAAGGTGACGAGGGGAGATGTGGCATACCAATGCCTGGGGTTTTATTTTTTATGTCCATTTGTTAACACTTTCCGGTATAAGTTGTGATCCCTGACACAGTATCCTAAATAGCAAATGAGCACCAGCGTGTCAAAGTGATTGGGAACAAATGTTGATCACGGAGTGTGACATATTTTGGTTTACCGGTTGGGCAAAATCTTATTCCTGTGTTAGCAAGCCTGGAAGTGTGTGTGTTTATTACAGACCATTAAAGTGGCATGTTTATGGCCTTTTGAAAGACGCACAGCCCAGCTTTAGAACAAGTGATGTGATGGGTGTGGATCGTTCTGTTTCATTTCTTTCTCTCTCCGCTGGAAACTGACAGCACTTTCTAAGAAAGTTGACAGTGGTCAAAGAGAGCTAGCCCTTGGTTATGCGGAGCATTAGCCTTTCTCAAGCTGGATCTCTCCCCTTATAGTCTGGGGATGATGAAAGCTGTAGTCCAAAACATCTGGAAGGTGCTAAGCTGGGAAATGGGAAAATGCATCCATTTGTCTTTTATTTCACTTACCCCCTACAATGAATCAGAAGTGCCACTTGTGGTCACAAATTTATGTCGGGTGATTCCCTTACCAGTAATGTGGTAGTCTATGCCTGATTAACATACCTGAGTGAGAACCAGCTCTGAACCTGCTCTCCCAGTGCAATAACCGGTTCTTTTGCCAACGCCATGGCTTCATAGCAAGAGAAACTGATTTTGACTTTGAACAAGTTTAAATGGCTAAATTTTGAACAACTATGCTTAATTAATTGGAATGATTACATTAAGTTAGTGAATCATCTGCCTTTTAATCAGCTGTGTTTAGAGTAATTTGCATATTACCCATTTAATACAGCTACTGTATTAATTTAATACAGCTACTTATTTTAAAAATTAAAGGAAATATTGTACCAATAACTAAAAGCATCTACACCTCTTTGAAGGAAAAGCCATTTGTTTTTCCCATATCAGTAATGATAATAACATGCCGAAACTAATATACCCTCAAAAAATAAACCAGGAAAACCTTATCCATCTCTACATTACACCAATTAAAAACTGCCCTCATTATTTAATCAACCAAAGTGTCAGCTGATTCATCTACCAAGTAAACTGGTTTAAGGCTTGTTAACTCATCTCGTTTTCCTGAATCTGCTTGCAGTGTTGGTGCTTCTTTTCTGAGAGTTCACACATTGCATTTGGGCTTTTCTATGCGACATGTTTGCTGGGCACTCCTGAGCCGCCACTGCAGGTCCTTTGCACAGCGACATCTTCCTCCCCAGCCTTCTCTGATGATGGTCCTTCTTATAGATGTGCTTTGCATGCTTGCTAGAAGCCTCACCAAATGCAGCGGGACCTGCTGCCAGGATAGTCTGTACAGAAGTGCAGCTTTGCCAGTTCTGCAAAGGAAATCTGCTGGTGTTAGTCGTTTGCCCCTCCTGACCTATTACGGAAAAGAAAAATCCATCATTCACATGCCCCATCATTCCGGGTGTAGATCTGGGCATCATAAAGAAATCAATCTCCTGAAAGTGCATTTTATAGCATCCATTACTGAAATGTGTGACCACTTAACAGCCAGAGTAGACCATTGTGTTATTCTCTGGGGAAATGCTCTCAGGTTTTATTACCATCGGAAGGACAAAACTGGCCCACAAAGATGAAAATCTAAGCGGCCGGGCACCACGCAGTTCAAACTGCTAGGTTCGGATCCTTTGCTGGCTTTGCCTCTGGGTAGAGAAATGAGCTGCAGGGCTTTCGGGCTGTACCACACACACCGGTAGCAGGGTCCACCCAGCTTTGAGACTCTGGTGATCCGGAAGGAACGACGCTTTCACTTTGTGATAGATTCAGCCTGGGTCTGCTGAGGGCCCCCAGGGTGGCCAGTCTTCTGGTTCAAAAATCGCCCTGCCTCTCTCAGCCTACTGCCAGACTGTCCCATGCTCCCCTCTGCAGTTGCAGTATTAAGGCCAGGCACCCCTGGGCTAATGCCAGTGCCCCTGGGACCCACTGTGGATGTCTGCCCCCAGGCCACCTTCCCTCCCTGTTTTGTTTCTTTCTCTTAATTGCCCCCCATGCAACACAGTCCACAATATCCTTGCAGTTCTGTCCTGCCCAGGTTGCTTTGTCTTCCCCTCCTGACATCTTGATGACTTTTCCTCCAGGTCGGTTTGCATGCCAGGAGGGTGACTAATCGCCCCTGTCCTGGTCCCCTGCTTGCTCCTTGTGTGCTGGCCAGATTCACCAGGGCGATTCACAAATGACCCAGAAGCCATGGCTTCAAAAGGGCTGCAAGGATCTGTGTTGGGGAAATTTGCACAGGATGTGTGTGCGTGTGCGTGTGTGCGTGCAAGTGCTTTAATGGAATGCATCCAGCTTCAATCCCCTTCCTCACAAAAGGACAGAATGAAATAAATATTCATGCTGCTTGCAGGGAGGCTAAAACAGATGTGATATTAAATGGGTGGATGCATTTATGTGTCTTTTTTTAAAAAACACTATCAAATGCGGAGGCCCCTGAGCATGATCAGCTCACCGGCTGGGAGGGGTTAACCCTTCCAGGACCATAAGCCAGCCAAAGCTATTTCCCTGAAGTTGCTGTTTACTTCTGGAGGGAGGCTTCCCTTGACTCCAAAGAAAGTTCCCCTATCCAAGCTAGCAGCAACTTGGCGGAGGAAGAATTTTTGGCAAAACTGAGGCAGGAAAGGGGTTAAACTACTCAACCTCATGTGCCCATTTTGAGATCCTCCTGTGTTCTTCTTCCTCCCTTGACAGTCCTCAGGGGGGATGTGCTTTTGCGCTTTTCTCTCTGTGCCTCTGCGTTTTTGCGCCATCATTTCTGGTGCTGGGGTTTCACCCGCCCTTGAATACCAGGCCAATGACCTCTCACAGGAAACAGCTTGCTTGCTGGTGAACTCTCTGACCGCTGAGGTTCTCGCCCTGCTCCTTCACACCACCACGACTGCTGCATAAACGCGGCTTTTTTCCCAACCAGAAATGGCGAGCCAATTAGATATACGACAGGCGTTAAAATCTGGTGGCATCTAATCCTCTTGACTGACAAGGCATGAGGCACACAGGGAAGGCAGGGATTTTCGCACAAGCTGTTTTTAAAGAACTAATAATAATAATGCGATCAAAGCCAGTTGGTGCCCAACCAGCCACATATTGGCGAAGGCTTCAGGAAGGGTGATCCCCCCTCCCGCCCCACACACACACACACACACACACACTTCTAGACTAGTCTTGTACAGGGGAATGGGGCAATCAGCCTGCCCAGGCAGATCATCCATATGCAAGTTAGAGCACATTTTGAAAAATGCCATTTTGAAAGAGAATTGCAGGCAACACTGAGCCTCTACTGCATAAGGATGCGTGAAAATTTCATTTGCGCCTGCAAACAGTCACGTGAGTCCTCTTTGCAACCCTGAATGTCAGCCCGAGCCAGAGAATGTGTTCCCTAAGGATGTCTGAAAACTCTCAAGCTCACACTCACATTCAAAAATTGCAGAAATTTATGAAGTAAGAGCATTTCAAGAATGCATTTTAGTGCTATTTCAATTTGGTTTATAGGGAACAGTTGTACAACTCTGAAAAAAACTTACATTTTTGTAACATTTCCTGTATGATCACATTCAATTTGTAGTTTTCCTGTTCTCATAAATTGCACAGTGATTACGAGTGTTCATGGAAGCCAAAGGAGAGCTGAACACTAAGGTAGTGCTCAGAAAAATCTAGGCAAAAACAAATATTGTTTATTTACTTATTTATTTATTAAATTTAATCTCAGGGCAGCTTACATAGACAAGAGTAGAACAATGATAAAACAGTACAATTTAAACAGTAAAAGAATAAAACAATAAAATAGCTAAATAGATCAATAAATTAAAACAATCAAAATACCAGTAAAACCTGTACAAGCATTCATTTTAAAATAAGAAATAAATATAATCTGGCCACTAAACAACATGGTGGCAGCAACAATAACATACCCATTTCAACCATTCACCCGACAAGATGACTGTGATATAGAAATGTCTTCATTTGGCACCTAAAAGAAAAACGTGATGACACCAGGCAGATCTATTTTAGTACAAGATTCCAGTAGTAGGGAGCTACAGAGAAGACACTTCTCCTCGCCATTTCTCCCCTCACGTCACTGTGGGAAGGAACCTGAAGAAGGGCCTCTGACGACCTCAGTGATCAGGCAGGAGCATTTGGAGACAGGCGGTCCTTCAGATATCCTGGCCCCAGGCTGTTTAGGGCTTTGTATGCTAAAGTCAGCACTTTGAATTGGGCCTGGATGGCAACCAACAGCCAGTGCAACCTGGGGAGGACTGGTGAATGAGTTCACAAAAGCCGATCCTTGTCCGCCTGTTCTGAATCAGTTGCAATGTCTGGACCATTTTCAAAGGAGGTCCCATGAAGAGTACATTACAGTAATCCAGGCATGAGGTCACCAGTGGGTGGATAACTGTAGCAAAAGTCCACTCATCCGAGTAGGGACACAACTGATACAACAGCCAAAGCTGGTAAAAAGTGCTCCTGGCTACTGAGTCCACCCAAAATGACAACAAATGACAACTCGGTGCTCAGGAGCACTCCAAGTCTGCGAACCTCATCCTTTGGGGGGTGGAGGGGCAACCTCATCCAGGACAGGCTGAAAATTCTCCAGTTGAACAGATGGACTTCCCACTAACAGTACCTCTGTCTTGTCTGGATTGAATTGCAGCTTATTGGTCCCCATCCAGTCATTACCAAGTGCAGGCACCAGTTCAGAGCATACAGTGCCTTACGTGGATTAGAGAGGTCGAGCTGAGTGTCTGTAACCACACAGAGTGCCATTGGACACTTCAGCCCAAACCCCCAGATGACCTCTCCCAGCAGTTTCATGACACTTGTTTGTCCAGCCCTACTACGTTCCCAAGTACAGGAAAGGAAATCCATCCCTATCATCACTTTAAATATTGCATTCTCCATATCGGGATGAATACGAGAAATGAGTGATCCCAAGTTTATGTGCAGTGTGGTGCAAGGTGGGGCAGGATGAGGCTGCGAATTCAGGACTGGCAGGTGCAAAAGCTCGTTGCAAGTCTGGCTGAAAGCTCATGGAAGTGTCACGCCAGTGCATCCCTGCAAGCAAAACCACAACTAATTCACCTACCTCACAGGGTTGTTGTGAAGATAACATGGGGCTGTGTAAGCTGTCTTGGATTGCCTACAGTTGTCTCCAGATCTGAAAATAATCCCTCTTTTGTTCCCAGGTACATTTATTTCAGGAGAGGGATAGTCGAATTTCCAAGCAGCTCTCTGCCATGACTCATTGCTGAAGCCAGTTTGAGAGGACAAGACCCTGAAGTATACTTGTGGCATTATTTGTGCACATGCACCAATGTCACAAGTTGAAAAAGAGCTCTGGGGAAACCAATATTTTTCTAAAGATGCACCAAGAAAACACATAATCAGTAATTAGAGTGAATTCCAAACTATGCCAAGACAGACTATGTGCCTGACAGAAGTTCTTTGCTGAAGGATTTTCTCAGGTACCCTTCAACGAAAACTGTGTGGGCACCGCTTTCCTGAAACATAGTGAACGGCAAATCTTCCCCACATAATTGGGGTTCATGTAAGCTTGAGTCACAGAAAATTTGCTCCCACTTGGGTAGGGGCCAATTTAATGGGAAAGACCCACAAAATTTGCCCCAGCCACATGGTTCCAGCATTCGCACCCAGCTATAAGGGGTGGCGTAATGGACTAGCTGCTCCCAACGGCCTGCTGGGAAGGACGTCTCAGCTATGACCATCTGAGGAGGATGAACCGTTGCTGGTTTTGAGTTCGTAGTCCATTGTTTCAAATCATACAGCATCCGCCTACAGACTTTAAAGTCACATCCTGTATTTGTAAGCCCGAAAACAACCCCAAGCCATTTTTAATGAAAATGTTAATAACATCTCAACAAAAGAAGACTTAGGTCATTCAGCTCAAGTATAAATAATCATTATCGTGCGTGAGTGTGTTTCAGTAGCACCTGGGAGCGCAAGCCACCGAGGGATTTAATTAAATCCTCATGCAAGATTGACTGATGAATGGAATGATTGCTGCTCCATGAATGGCTGGCCAGAAGGCCAGGAGCCAAACCTCATGAATAGAGCTTTTCACTCCGTGACCTGGAGCACCGGCAGTACGGAGCCACGCGAGAGGGCCAGGAGGAGGACTCCGTAGCTGTGTTTGGGGTAAGCAGCAGATGCAAGGCACTGCCCTGATAATGGAAGCATCGCTTAATCCAGCAAATCCGTAACCACCCAGAAACCCACATGCATCCTATTGTCTTGCCAAGGTTTATCCTTGTTCCGAGAATGCAAGACAGGAAAGCCTTGTCAGATAAGGGACCTGCTAGCAGGAGATACTTTGGGCGCAAGGTTAACTTCCTGTGGAAAAAAGCAAAAGGGTAGGAGTAAGAGCTGCTTATGTGGTGCAGGCACGGTGTGCTCTTTATTTTTCAAACAAATGGACATGCCAGCAAGGAACAGGCGGAGATCTCAAAGTGGCATAGGAATTATTCATAGGTTTGTGTTACGGAGGCCACTTCCAGCAGACGTCTCTCTTCCATGGTACGTTGTCCTCATTCCTGGTGGTTGCCAGGCCTGGCTCCTGCCAAGTTAATGGGCTGTGGAGGAGAACCAGGGTCTGAGGAGCAAGGCAAGGTCCTTCAGGGAAGGTAGCGACAAGGCCATGTACAAAGACAGGTCTGTGGAAAGGGGAAGGAGATGAAAGCAGCAGTGGTCGTATCCCAGGTGTTTGTCATGTGATCTCCTGTAGCCTCTTCCTGCCCAGGGGTCCTAATCACCCTGCAGTTCTCATTCTTAGTCTGCGATTAAAGGAGGCAGGGAAGCTAGAAGCTCTCTCCATTGTGAGGTTCAAGCTGAGACAGGCAAGCCCCTTGCCCAAAATTAAGGCTCATTCAGATGTCCGTTTTCACAGCTCTCCATCTAACATGAGTGTGGCATCCCCCTACCTGATGACAACTCCCATAATGCCCCACCACTCATGGTCATGCTGGCTGGGAGACACTGGGAGTTGTACACCGACACGTCTGGAAGGCACCTGGTGGGGGCAAGCTGAGAGAGTGTGAATAAACTGGAAGTAAGCAAAGGGGGAACCCCCCAAGTGAAAATATCCTTTTGTGTAACTGCAGTACAATTCTTGCTGTGGGGATTGCAGGGTTGCCCCTTGTCCCATTTTTCTTTTCTAAATTTTGTTATTGTAAAATTTCACCAAAGCAAAGCAAAAAAACAAAACGTAGCTACATCATTTTGAATGTATCCATTTCAATGCATGCATATGTGCGTTGGTGTGTGTGTACATATGAATGAAAATAAGACTTTCTAAGAATTACACATAAACTTCAACAAAAGGAGAGCAAATATTCATATAAAAATGCAAATAGTGTCTGGATGTCACCCATTCAAATGCTGGAAGTCGTGTTACATGGCCAAACCATTGCTTGATAGAAGATGAGATTGTATCCTCTCAGTGCTGCAGTTTCCACATTTTAGCTGTTGAAGTGGCACAGAAAATCCATTTGCACAGCCTCTCCATTAGCTTCCATGAAGCAGGTAGATATTTTAAGAGGATATGTACATCAGTAAATATTAAAGAGAGCTTCAGTGCAAGGTTTATCTGTATAATAACCTACTCCTCAAAAGAGACAGTTATTGGGCATTGCCAAAATGTATGGTTTAAAATGCACTGTGCCATTCCTTCTGACTTAGACAAAACCTTAATTGAGCCATCTAATGGAAAATAGGTTTTTTGCTAAATAAGGTGTAACTGGAGATCCCTAGATGCTTTGGATACAGATGCTAAAGTCATGATTCATTGGTTAGGTAAAATTCCTGCTTAGGACCATGGGCATCACGTTTATTCACCAGTAATAGGTATTTATAAACATGGATCAGAATCATGGGTTAGTGTGTCTGACAGGCCTTGATACGCACTTCCAATAGTGAGGGAGAAGCTGTAAAAATGGCAGCACCAAACCTAGATCCTAGCAAACGTTGCAGCTGCAGGTATTGCCATTCAGATGTAGCAGATAAATTGTATTTGGCACACAAAGCCATGAATAACATGAACTCATCAGCAGCACCCAAAAAGTGATCCAAGTAAAAATCAATGTATCCATTCAAACCCACAACAAAAACATTTCCTCATCGATTTTTAAATCTGGATTTCCACATACAATCAATTTGGAAGGAGAAAAATAGCTCCAAAATGTAATTGATGTGTCAGAACACGCCACACATCTGTAGCAGCTGTAACTGTGGGAGGACCCTAATCTATTTTAATGTGTGGAGAACTTAATACCTTCCGTTTCAGGTGAGGATCCATACAAGAAGCTTCCAAATCTGACCAAGGTGGAAAAAAATCTAATCTAAGTGGAAAAGACCAAAACCAACCAAGAAGTCCAGTGATATAAAACAAGTTCCGGAGAGCCAAACCCACCTTCTTTAATTGGAAGTGTGATATGGGCGCTGTTCTTAGCTATGAAGTGGGCCAAGGCAAGGGGGACTGGACTGGGTCATCAGGGCATGTGGCTCTGGGGGGACTGGGGTGTACTAGGGATGAGGGGAGGAGGAATGCTGCCCCTTTCCTTTGAAAGGTCCGTGTGGATGCACATCAAAGTGAGTTCATCTTCTGGGCGCAGCATGTTGGATGATATTGAAGGCAGAGTTA